CGTTTCTTTAAGTCTTCCTACCAATATGACCGAGTTGCGAAAACAAGGTCAAACAACTTCTATTCTAGAGGATGATTTGCTTTCGTTATCACCAGCTGACTTTTCACGTGAGAATTAAGGCTAAGACTCAATCTTCCCACTTATTTTCGCCGACTTTCTGGTCTCACTGCGACCTAAGGACACCTTCTCACCCCATCGACGCCTTTCCTGCACCGAGACTTGGCGACTGATGTGGTTGCGATCTGGTGGTTACGCAATGAATCCTCCAGTTCCGGCTTTGAGGCCCGTTGATGTATGTCTTGGGCCTTGTAAAGCTAACGAGTTAATAAAACTGCTTGGTTTGAATTTGGTTGTAAGGTTGATACTTTGTTCTGATGATGTTCGTCATGTGACGGACGAAGGCTTAGCACGTTTTCACCGCAATCGAAAAAGATCACCTCGGAAGCAGCATCAACATGAATGTTCCAGTAAAGCCGGTCGATAACTTGTCAAGAGGAATGCGCCGTCGTCTTCTGGTGGAATCAACCATCGAATCTCTCCATCAAACACTTTCATTCGAAATGGAAGTAAACTCAACAACGGTTGAAGTTTGCCTGATTTCGCAGTGAAGAGTATGTCTGGTTGCAAATGGGGCCTAAAGAGTACGGTGTTCTGAAACGAGATCGAGCAAACGGAGAGGGAAGATAAGGAAAAGTTTAGACGAAATTGGCAATAATCGCCAACATGCATCAGTTGTGTATATTGTCGCCGGAACGGATTGGAATTAAGGACTATAGTCACCATACTTCTCTTAAAGTGATGCCAAACGGATAGTGCATTTTCTCGCAGTGGGAGTAGTGGACTTCACGACGATAGTAAGGCCATGCCTCCCAAAGATGAATGAAGGTGATACAAGATCGAACACTAAATCATAACCTATTCGAATACAAGTAACATTGTCGACTAAAGTGAAAAATAGATATATGAGTTGAATTCGCCCTATTTCGTTTAAGGTGATAAAGGACTGGTAGTTGAATTTTCACACAATGATATAACTAGGCCTCATGCTTCTATTGGCTTTCGCATAGCCTTGCTTCTTAAAAGGTATTCCCATCCCGCCAGAAAGAGACTGCACTTTCGATCTTGTCCTGGTTTCATCTACTTTCCCTGCGGGATTCAAAGCGTAGCACAATGACTACTACACCACACTGCCACGAATGCCCCTGAGTCACAGGGCAGAAGTCAATTTTATTGCAAATTAGGCCTATCACATAGTTTTTAAGTAAGAGTGTCGACGAAGCAAACATGTAAATGCCATTTTTTGCTTTCATAAGAAAGTTTTATAGACTGGTGTTTCAGATGAAAACGAGTTACGTAGTCGATTTTTATAGCAAATACGACTTTGCTTCATCGACAATCCCACTACAGAATGTGATATGAGGAAGACCTAGGTTTCCATGAAATTCACTTCTGTCCTGTAACCCAGGGGCTCTCGTGACAGTATGGCGTAGTGGTTAACGTGCCGAAATTATAGGCTTCACTATCATAACCCGGGTTCGAGTCCCGCTGGGGTCCTGACGGGATTTAGGCGAGGTCGGGTCCGCGGTCCAGTCTAGCCTGGCTGATAACACCCTTTAAGAAGCGAGGCTGTCGGAAATTTAATTGAAGCATAAGGTCTACTTATATGATTGTGGTAAAATTCAACTACCAGTCCTTCATTACTTTAAACGAAATAGGGTGAATACATTGCATTTATAAGACCCAGTGAAATTCTCTAGACATTTTTATTAGAGAAGAATGATAACTATTTGTTTGCTATATCGACAATATAACTCGAAAATGTGATACAGGATAGGCATAGCTTGCGTTGAAATTCGCTTATGCTCTGTGAACGCGTGGCATAGCGGTTACATGTCGAAGTCTCACACCGCACTAGCCGGGTTCGCTTTCCTTTTGGGGGCTATGATGAGATCCAGGCGAGATGAAACTGCAGTCCAGTATGGGTGACTAGAACGTTTATTGTAGATTTACCGATATTCTCGAAATCCTACTCATTTCGAATATTGGTTAGGATTTTCACCCTCGAGGAAGTGAAGAGAAGTTCAGCCATTCGCTTTCAACTACTCTGCTCCTTGCAAGGAGTAACTGGGTTTCAATGAATATCCTGAGATAACATTTTTGGGGAGACTTTAATTTTGTATGAAAGTGTATAAAAAAGATAATCGAAGATCTATCTCCTAAAAGGCCCTTGTCGTCCCGGCCGGGCTGCAGCTTCCACATCGCCTCGGTCTCATCTACACTTCTGGCTGGATCCGAAATCTGGTCAAAGTGAACACGTTACTTCAGGCATTGTTGGGTCATGCGACTGAATAGACTCCTCCGAACTCGCCTCTTTAGTCCGGACTTCTGCACCGACATGTACTCGAGTAGATTTCATCAAACCTGATACGCAACTGCGGGTGCCTCAATTACACCTAGTTACAGCCATCAGACATATGCTTGCTGTTGTGTTGTTTTTGGAGCAGAAGCCTTTGTCGCATTCAAGGCCAAGCGTGTCGCACATCACAATAGGCCCCTTGATTCACAGACCCACGGTTCGTGCCCCTTTGGGAAGCTGCTGGGAGAGTGAAGCCAAGTCGAAACTGGGGGGCAGTCTGGAGGAGCACGGCCTTTCAGAACTCATGGCCAATGCGCTAGAACTTCCCAAAACGCCATACGAACCTGGGTCCTAGTGGGGGGAGGGAGAGCTCTGATTGCGCCAGATAATCACCAGCTTGGCAACTGGAGAAGAAGACTTACAATTTCCAGTGAGCTGTTGAACCGGAGGAGCGAGAGTGAGTGAAATAAAATGTTGTTTACACACCACTATCACACCTTCTCTTCCACAGATTATTGGAAACTTTAACTTTATAGCATCGTGGCTATCTGTACAATCTTGGCAATTAACATGGCGATCGGTCTTTAGCAAACCGCTTGAATCTTTGCGATGAAAAGCATAAAGTTTGTCTGCATTGTATTTCTATTTAGTTTATAAATACATTGTGGATGAGCGGTAAATGTTTGCCCCATAAATGCTCCTGGCTTTATTTCATAAAGCCAGCATGCACAAGTTAAGACAAACCTAGCCCAGACAACGTTAGGAATGCAATGCTACTTTTGTTTTCTTCGAAGATCATCCCATCCCTCAATCACTCAACCAATCGGCCATCATTAAATCATGTTATTGACGAGAAATATATCTATCACCAACTTAGTTATTGAATTAATTACTCCATGTATTCATTTGATCAATCACTGAGCTGTCAATAAAGGCAAAAATAATAAACACTCGGAAGTCAATATTTGGTTGAGTATATTCCAAACTATCATCACTTTTTAAAATAAAGACTTAATCATCCTAGAATGTATAAATTGATTAAAGTATTTCATTTTTCCGAGTTCCGTCCTATAAAGGATTTGCTCATTCAAGATAAAATCCAGTTTGTACCTTACTCAGGCTTTACAAAAAACTCTGGTGGGATTCGAAACCGGGTTATCTCCATCATAGCGACACTGTACCATCCAATTACTCAGCGGAGTATAAGTTTTAGGACAGGTCAAGCCTTTCCAGAATCACACTTGATTGTGCATTTTTCCTTGCAATTGGTGATGCTACTGTTTATCTATACATAATAGATATCGAGACTATCATTATTGTTTGAATAAGAATCCAGTTACTATATGTTGCTTAGACTATTATTTAAAGTCTTCATATCCACCAATCAGCCGCTCGACCAGCTGAGCAGCGATCTATTGTCTAACCGTGAAATCC